AAAAAAATCACTTGGAGTTCAGAGGGCTAAAAGTGGTTATAAAATGAATTATTGATAAAACTGGTTAAGTTTTCTGTCTATCAATGAAACTTTGCAACACTACAGAATAGGTGAAAGCCCTGTCAATGAGCTGAATTTAAATATTAAATGGAAGTAATGTACAATTGTAAAAATATTAAAATACAGCTTTTGTATAATTCTGGTGTTTACTGATGTGTCTGTAATGGTGAGAGGGGGGAAAAACAGAAGTATGTCTCTATGTTAATACATTGCACACAGTCCCTAACACCGCTGACCAGTCGGGGCTGTGATGTACAGTCGTCCTCAAATTTATCCATACCCTCCCATTAGAAAAGGAAAAAAACAACTTCACTGACATAAGCTGAAATTGACTAAAGTAATAATAAATAAAAATTGAATGAAAATCATGACATTACTTTTGAATTGTGGTTCATCAGAAATATTAAAACAATAAAAAAAAAAAAAACAAGTAAACAAGCATGATGGGACCCGTCAACTAATATTTTGTTGAACAACCCTTTGAGCCAATCACTGCAGTCAAGTGTTTTCTGTAACTCTCAGTCAGACTTCTGCACCTGTTGACAGGTATTTGATTTCGGCCCACTGCTCATCAGCAAAGTGTCTAATTTGTCCAGGACAGTTTTGTTTGTTTGCTTGTTTTATATATATTTTTTTCAGCCTTAATTCAAAAGCAATGTCTTAGTTCACTAAATTAGAATTCAGCATTTTTAAAAAATTTATTATTACTTTTTTCAGTTTCTAGTTGTCTGAGTAACTTGTGAATTTTTCCTTTTCTTTAATGGAAGAGTATGAATAAATTTGAGGACGACTGTATGTATGCAGGCCTGAATCATGGGCGCTCTGGGGGGAAGGGATGCCGAGCCGCCGTGCGTCTGACGTCACGACGCAGGAGAGAGAGCGAGCAGCCGATGAGAGGAAGCTGCAACAAACACACAGGGCGTCTGCGCCTATCTAAGTAGGACAATAAAGTGAAAACGGTATCAATGCTCTAACAATGGATTTGTCACACATGCTTCTCCTTAAAGTTTTCCTCTTCGCGTACTTGCTAAACTACACCCAAGGTGAGTGGAGCATTTTTGAGAGAAAACCCCGCAAGTTGTGTTGAAATCCATGAAGCAGCGGCAGAGAGGAGCAGAAAGCCTGGTAGCCCGTTAGCTAACAGAAGGGATCAGCAGGGCCTGCTTGTTATGAAGAGGACTGCACCCTTTTTGCCGTAATACTTCAAGCCAACGAATGATACATAGCGTAAAAGCGGACTCGGATTCGCGTAGTTGATAGAATATAAAGCGACATTGCTGAGTTATTCCTGCGTGTTGTCACCGTTTTTATTGTCAGCTTTGGCTCGGTTTTGTTGTTATCGTGCGAATAGCGCCGACAGCCATTGTTATGAGAAGATGGAGATGCCGACTGGGTTAACGGAGCGTTAGCTTTGTGCTAGCTAACCCTGTAGCCGCAAACCTGGACAGTTTAGTCCGAATAAGAAGCCCGACCGCTGACATTTTGGTGCCCGCGTCGTGCCAGCGTGTACAATTTAAATGGCACAAGTTTTCAAGTTTGCTGGCATAATTTGGTTATCTGTGCTATCACTGGTCGCTGCTGTTTTGCCCTGCTATCCTTGGTATATTGTCATTTTAAACAAATGTAAGCCTGGATTCAGTATTTTTACAATAGTTGTTGTGTTTGGATTTTGGTAGAGAACGAAATTACCTTCAGCAAAATGCAGCATTGACGCCTAGTACACTTCTAGCATCCGACACTTGACTATATCTCTTCCTGTGCTTCTAAATTGTAACGTTATTCCAATAATATACAATTATCTGCTTAAACTTTACTTATTTAAAAGTCTAAGTCAGCTTTAGGGTCCATATTTATTTTCAAAATCTGTATAATTTGCAGCTGGGTCCCCTGTTAAACTGTCAAAAGTAACAATGAACTTTTTTCACACAGGATCATCTCCTTCGTATTTTTTAAAGCAAATCTTGTGTTTTAGGCACATTTAAAAAAAAACACACAATTTTGTTGATTTGATTTCGTGGCAGCATGAATCCAGGCATGATTTTATCTAACTTTTTGCTGGGCTTGAGAAATTAAGATATTTCAGAGTTACAGTCACGGCCCTCACTTCTCATAGTCACCTCAATGAAAAATTCAATGTTACCAGCTAAATATTTCATACTGCACATGAACAGAGAAGTAGCTCGAGCCTGGTCTACTTATCCATCTTTGTTACGTAGTTACACTGAATCCTGTAATTTAAGGCTCAACTGTCAGGCATAATTACCTGCCACAGAGTCCTAATTACATATACTCTATGTACTGAAAATGGTTTCTTTCAGTTTATATGTGATCGTGGAAAGCTCTGATCTTACAGATGCACCGACATGTTTGTGTGCACGGGAAAACATTCGTGGGGGGATAAATGCATTAAACAAAAATAGTATGTTTTCTCGAGATTGTCAGACAGCTTTTGAGTGTGAAGCAGTTGGTGAAATGGGTGGAGATGCTTGAGAATCTTTTTTTCCCTTCAAGCCCACCACCCACTCTTCTGGTGGCGAAATAATTATGCTGTGACGCTGGGGGCTGTTGTTGTGCACAGCTCCAAAACTGGCATTCATTTGACTAAATAGATTTAGCTGAATGTTAAAACAGAGATCAGACCGAGTTTGCTGTCATTTTCGTCATTTTAATCCTGCTTGTCAAACATCTGCTGGATCATCCACCTTTTGGACACCTCACCCATCCTGCAGTGCCTCAGCCGTTCACTCTGAAATCTAGTTTATTTATTTCCACTTTAAAGACTCAATTTTGACGACCTGTGCTTAAAATATTTTGTCTAATATGCAAAATACATGCTTCAGTGTCAGCTAAGAACTGTTGGTGTGACACTCATTGTGGTACTGGGGCTGTTACAAGCCTCAACATTTCATAGTTTACATTTCATCCTTTCTAAATTACCTTTTGTATTTTCTGTAATTCAACGTCTGTGGAATGAGCTCCAGTGAGCTCTTTTCTAAGGTCTGACAGTTAAATATTGAGTGCATACATATACTTACAATCTTGAATATGTCATGTGAACATATCTGTGGTGACAGTGCTGTCATTTTCTTTAACTGGCATCCCTCTGTTCCTTTCACACAGGACACTATAGGAATCCCCTGAACAAGTACATCCGTCATTATGAAGGTCTGTCCTACAGCACAGAGCTTGTGCACAGCAACCATCAGAGGGCCAAGAGGGCACTCTCTCATGAAGACAAGTTTCTTCATTTAGATTTTCATGCCCATGGAAGGTTTGTGTGCTTCTTTTTAAAGATATTAATCTGAAGTGTGAATCTGTCTGCATCTCCGTCTATTTTTATGTCTTTTCATCTATCTCGGTATTTGCCTGCCTGTTCATTTATTTGCAAAGCTGATCCCATATACCTATATTGTTTATGATTAAAAGCTCAGGTCTGCTGTAGCAGGGATATGCAGCGTGATTAGAAGTTGTTTACATGTAATCCTGTTTTATGAAATCTTAGAAGTGGTCAGGGGCACTGCATTAGCTCTGAGATGAGGATGGATTTTGTCAGCTTTGGTTTCTCTGTGTAGTTTCTTTGTCTCCATTGGAGCCAAGTGACTCATTCATTGGTCGAACAATAGAAAAAAATAGCAGGCATTCCCTGGTTCCAGCTTTTGAATTATACAGATTTGCTGCTTTTCTTTTTCTTGTGCGATAACGTGCTGATAATTTTGGACCTTGTGGCTGTTGGTCAGATAAAACGAGCTATTTAAAGACACATACTTGGACTTGAAATAATTCTAACAGCCATTTTTTAAAAAACTGTTTTCTGACATTTTATAGATCGAGCAATTAATAGCAGACTAATTGGTAGATAAATTAATAATGATTAGTTGCAGCCCTGGTGTAGGGGTGTTCTGAGTTCCTCCTACAATCTAGATACATGCAGATGAAGGGAGTTAGATGTGAAATTTGTCCGTGTGTTAGTTTGCCTCGTGATGGATCAGGTGTTCCCACAGTGTTTCTGTGCACATGCTACCTGAGTGGGAGCCCCCTCCAAGTATAGATGATGGATGGATACATACAGTCCTTGTCACAGCTCTTCATACAGTGTTTTGAAGAGGTGGTGTTGTTTGATGGAAAGTGGCGACACTCTCCATGACAAAGTCATGACCATCTGGCTGGGATCTTGGCAAAGGCTGTTTATCGTCCTGCCTGTAACGGGGGCCTGCTGTTCCTAAACTCTGAGGATGCTTAATAGGGAAGAGGGTGATAAGAGCTGTGCAAACAAACACGCGGAAGGAAGATGTCTCTTCCTTTGAAAAGCAGAATTGTGTCAGTGTCTCTTCC